CATTATTATTTAAATATAATTTTCATAATGACAATTATACTTTTGTTTTGATTTTTCACTAAGTCAATCTAACTAATAAAAAATTATCACAATCCTAACTTTTTATTGGTTGGAAGCTAATGTTGTTACCCTAACAACAAAACAAAAGGAGTGTTATTACACTAACTAGTCCATGATAAACACCCCACTAAGAAAGATGTGTAATTAATTCACAATATTCTATGGGTCCTACATGCACCAATAAATTCAATATATATGACTTATGAATGCAACTACATCTAACTCGCACGTGTGGTTGGAGAGACTTGCCCTAACTAATTCTTCCGTTGAAATGATCAAATTGCACTTAAAGCCATATTTATTTCGGAGCCTAACAATAATAGGGACCAAAACCTATAATTGGAGGGCTGGTAATAGGTTGGATCATTGACAAGGGAAGGAACTCCTATTTTATTTTTCCTTCGATTAGGTATGGATGTGTCAACTGATTCTAAAATTCTATATCACTTGAACTTTCCCTCTCTAGAATTATGGTTTATGTTAATATGTATAATTTAATATTTTCCAATTTTCATCTCATATGTGTTGCATTTTTAGTTTTTCACGGAAATTAGAATGAAAATCTTGAAAATTTTATAAAATTGAACTGCATGAAAATTATAAAAACGTTATTGTTTTATGAAAAAATAAAGGTGACATGTAAATAGTAGTGTTAAGTTAGTATTAAGCTATCAACTAGTTGTTTGGTAGAATTATATTGATTGGGTCTGTATTGTTGAGAGACATTGTGTATGATTTGCATTACTAATGGTATTTATCTTCTAGTTCTTAGACTAGACATTAAGTTATCAACTAGAAGACGATATGATGTGATTTTGACATTCATATCATTTAATACGAGTAACGAAGGAGCTGGTATGGCTTGTGAAATTGCATAAACACAATGAGTGAAGCTGTGCTAAATTCGGATACTAAACCTCCTTCAACGAAAGCAATACTTCAACCATCTGGATCGCTACTTTCACAATTCTTTCATTTGACACACAATTTTTTCAATTGTATAGCCAAACTCGTTCACACTAGAAGAACACTCGAGCTTTTGGTCAATCCTCCTGAATATACAATAAGATGTTGCTGGTTTGATAATCTACAGTGACACACTATCAAAACTGTCGAACTTTTTTGTTGGAAAAAAAGTCAATAATATACTACAATTATACAAACACACAATAACCGAGAATCATATATTATCAAACACTACGATGTTTCGTAATAAAGAGTATACATTATTATTTATACATATATACAGTATACACACGGAAAAATAGTCTCCATACCTCAAGTGTGTCATATCATGTTGGCAAATTGCAAATGTATTTTTCCTTTTATGAGAGGGCAAAATTGCAATAATTTTCAGTCAAAGGACAATATTTTTGGGACCAATTTCCCCCCCTCCCTTCCTTCCTTGTATTCCTCACAACCACTCGTGTGTAAACAATATATCTCCAAAGCTGACGCCTTGCTCTTCCCCAGCAACAATCCCACGTTCCGTGACAGCGCGTGGGGAACGGTACCCTTTCAGCCTTTCTCTTTCTCCCTCCTTTCCGGTTTACCTCTGTGAACTGATTTGGTTCAACCGGATAGTGAACCAAGCCCATTTCTAGGCGGTCAAGAAATCTAGTAAGGAGAGAAAAATTGAATTTTACTGACAGTTTATTCAAGTGACGTGGAAGGACAGTTCGGGAAAAATCTCTCAGGTGGATTCCTATGAATGTCCCTTTTTATTTTGCTTTTTTTTTTTCTTTTCTCTTTTTTCTTTATTAAGGAATTTACTTATGTTTATTACGGGAAGGGGAGGGGGGGTTCAGAATTTTGAGGCGTGGACGTGGGTGTAGGGTGGGGCCACCAGTTGTGTGGGACGGGGGGAAGTGTTTCCGGACACGTCGGTTGTTGCACGTGATTTTGTCGCTTTTGGCTTCAGTTTCTCCTCCTCAGTAATAAATAAATTGTGTAACTAACAAATATTTAATTTTAAACAAAAGAATACCCCAACTATTCGACATCAATTTTTACATTGGCTATATTTGACCCGGCTAGGATTGTTTTTTCAGTTTTAAAAGTTGAAGCAAAGCCAAACCCTTATAAAGGCTCGGCTTTTGAAAAGTTGAAAATCGCTTTTCTATAACATAAAAGCAAAAACTCTGATTTGGAGCTTTTGTGAAAAGCTGTTATGAAAATACAAGATTATTCTTACCATACTTCAATCTTATTTAAGAAAATATGATTTTATTTTATTTACACCGTTATAAAAATAAAATAAATTATAAAATCATATGATTCAATATAAAAGAAATCTAACAAGATCCATATTGACTATTTTTTATTCTTTAGAATTTTTATTCATATTTTATATTCTAAATCCTTTATAGTCATTTTACATAACCTCTCATATTAAAAAGCATTTCTAATAGTTTTTCAACCAAACACTCAACTACTTTTTTTTTGAAAAGTAATTCTCTAAAAACTCCAGCCAGAAGCTGCTTCTGCGAAAAAACTACAGCAGGGCCAAACTAGCCCATTAAATTGACCATCAGTTAACTCTGACATGACAATTAATTGCTGAGATGGAAGGATTCTGATGATGTGGCAAGGTGCCAATCCTCTTAGTGGAATTTATTATTTGAACTTAATTTACTATTTATTGCTCTTTAAAAAATTGAATGAGCTTTTCTAGTCTAGTCAGGAGTCATGACTCTTCTTTAGGTTGCGAAGACAACTAGTAAAGTTGGCACCCTTAGTTCAGAATCAATAAAAAAAATAACAAAACAAGACGAATTTTCGGTAGTTTATGCCGTACGCTTACCTTTGAGTTACAAACAACCCGATTTATCCGTTGAAAAAATGTTGAATTCATATGAGTTCAATTTTATGTTTGAATTCAATAATCTCATGCCATGACCCCATTTGCAAGATAATTAGTTGTAGGAAAAAGGAGTTGAGGATAGCTCGCTCAATCAACACTAATCCAACTTTCTGCATGAGAAACTGAAAATAAAGCTATAGTAAGGGGGATTGGAGGGATCATGTAAGCATAATAAAAGTAATTAAACATCTTAATTTTTGTTGCCGAGAGGAAGGATTGAAGGAATGTAAAGGAGTGAACAAAAATAAGAACCTCTTGTTTTCCATTGTTGTTCCTTGTGACTGTCTCAGTCCGTCACCATCTCTCTTTCCGAAGCCGTTTCCAATCAGTTAAGAAAAATGGCGAGAGAGCATGGAGGAGGCCGGGCCCACCAAAATTGCTATCGTTTACTGGACGGTTAGGCCCACTTGAGGATGATCAGGCTCTCAAATTCTCAAAGTCCATCAACGCAATAAATAAAAATAGGAATATTAGAGGAAAAAAATAAGTCGAAGTCGGAAGTAGGAAATTGTGGAACTGATAAGGCTTGGTCTTATCGATATCGTTAGGATGGACAGATCTTTCGGTTTCTTAATATCTGATTTTTATTTTCTTTTCATTTTTTCATTTTTCTGATTAACAACGTGTTCATAAAATTTCTTTTGAAGATGGTCAGATGGAGGAAGTGATGGCAATGGCGCGAGGCGGGGTGGGTACCTCAATTCCCATGCCCCTCCCCACGCTACTATGGGTAGGAGTGGGTAAAACCCGTGCCGGTACGGGGCGGAGCGGGTCGACCCACTCTTACATGTTGTTCAAAAAAATACAAGTAAATTTTACTTTTTACAATAAAACGTAGGGAAAACACTTTAAGAATGAAAATTATTGATAATATAATGGATAATTGAGTCTAACAAGTTGAAAGATCGACTCTAACTATTTGAAGAAAAGTCAAAATCGGAGAAATATGTATAGATATTGTAAGAAATTGAGATAAAATGAGTCTACAATGGTGCGGGGCAGGGCGGGTCAGAAGTAGATACCCATGCCCCATCCCACACTACTGCGGATCGGTTAATACCCGCCCCATCGCGGGTCAGAACGGATAATACCTGCGGGGCGGGTTGAAATTGCCATCACTAGATGGAGGCTTGTGGAGAGAGAACGTTGGAAATTGGAATGGAGCAACAAATAAAGAATGAAGGGATCGATGGTCATACTTAGCTGAATGAATTGCATATCTTTGTGACAAAATGAGTTGAAAAAGAATTAAAGAAGCCCTACGCAACGCTATATGGACAAAGGCCCAAAACCCTCCAGATCGACCAACGAAAAAGCAAATCGATTGCAATGGCGACAGACAAAGACAAACCGGTGGTGGCGACTCTGCACCGGACTTTCTGCTGGGACCAGCGAGAGGGTTGCAGTTGCAGCGAAACACACGTGCCGGTGTCTATTGGTTTCCAGACATACGGCCACCGGACCCACCACCACAAAACAGTCCCTACGGCGGCCGTCGGAGAGCGATGGCCTGTCCGCGCGCGCGTGCGGTGGCCGGGCGACAGGAAGGAAGTAAGCAAAGGACACCGTTTTCTTTTTGGTTCCGTCCCGTTATGGCATCACTCCATCGATACAGGGCCGGTCGTTGTATAATGGGTTCTGGCCTTCTGGGTCACCGACAAATTATCCAGCCTGTCGCTGACACACTGTTCACTCTCTCCTATTGATTTGTCTCCCACCAAGTATGGCGGTAATGTATCCGTTTTCTACTGTGAGCTCTTTCTCTACCGCCAAGTAGGGCTGGACGTTCGGTTATCGGTTGTCGGTTAACCGGCCGGTTAGACCAATAACTGACGGTTACCGGTTAACCGGCTAACCGAAAAAATCATCTGCGATCGGTTGTCGGTAGCTGGGTTAGCTACGTCGGTTAACCGGCTAACCGACGGTGATAACCGCCGGTTAACCGGCTAACCGAGCAACTAACCAGTAACCCCCTCCCTTATTCCGTAAAAGGACGCCGCCCCAGACCTTCTGGCCTTCTCTCCCGTCCCTTCCCATCTCATTCACAACCTCCCATCTCCGTAACCTCCGACCAGACGCCAGCAGGAGATGGTGCGACAACAGATTTCTCATCTCCGAAATCGCTGAACGAACGCTGACAAACGACACCAGATTTCCCCTCTCTCTCACCTACACAATTGCACAAGCGAGGGTTTCAATTTTCTCTTTCCCCCACCCCTAAACCCGTTGAACTACAGCGTCGGAGATACAATCTCCCTATTCATCCTCACCTTCCCCCGACGTTCTGGCTTCCCGGTTCGCTCAACCTTATCAGTTCAAAGCGCATAGAGTCACCTTCTCCTCCCCCGAGCCAAATCACCGCGGATTGAGTAAGTGGTTTCCAATCGTGGAGGGTCTCCTACATTCCGACCCCTACATCCAGACGGCTCCGGTTGCAAGTGAGGAAGGGATCTGGGTTGCCAATTCCTGCCGCCAAGTGGGTTTTGATGGTTTGAATGGTAGCTTGCCAGCAGCTATTTCCCTGTGTCAGAGCTAGCTTATTTACAAAGACTTGGTAACATTAGGATCTCAATGTCTGGGAGGAAGCTAAGGGCAACGCTATCTGTTGAGGAACTTCCCCCAAAAGCATTCCGCATGAAGAATGAGCCACAATGGAGGGGAGGATTCAGTCTTGGGGTGGATCTTGGACTGTCTCGAACTACGAGCAAAGGAGGCCGAGGCGAGGTCGCGGCGGCGGAGCGAAGGGGATGGCTGGCCTGTGCGACCCCGCCATCTCCTCCACCGGCGCCATTCATTTCCGACATGAAAGGGGAGGGCAGAGCAGATGGATTTTCGGTGTGCATTGTGTTTTGCGGTTACTCCGGTTAACCGAGAAACTAACCGGTAACCGATCGGTCGGTTGCCGGCTAACCGATGGCTTCCGTCGGGCGGTTGTCGGTAGGCAAAAGTGATATCGTGGTTAACCGGTAACCGACATTTCGGTTATCGGTTATAACCGAACTAACCGAAAATCCACCCCTACCGCCAAGTAAACAAACCACGTGTTTGTTAATCTTATATTTTGCATGGTTAATATGAAGAAAAAAAATATAGATTTACGAGATTTGGTTTGGAAATTGCGATTGCTTGAAAAGATTGCTTGAACAAGATTCCGAAACTAAGAAGGTAAGATATTACTTCAGGGAGACGAGGCAAGGTGTGGAGTGGCACTAGGCAGCAAACAGTTACTTGGGGGGAAACTCGTGTGGCATTCAGGTCTGATTCCTAGAAGTGGAATCCAAAGTGTTTGTGACCTATGTCCTTTATGTTTGACAGAGGTGGAGACTATAGAGATCATATATTTTCTCATGTACTTATGCGCAACAGATAGAAGGCTATTTGGAGAGAAGAGGATGGAATGCAAAGAGTTGTTGAAAGAATGCAGATGGTATTGCAGGCAAAAGATTGATGGTGATGTGAAGTTTGATGTTGCAGTCCATATTCGCAAATTGTGGTTATGTTGAAGGTCATGTCTGTATGATCTTGATAGTACTGTTAGCATTTCTATTCTTTTATTGATTTGCTGGTATTGTAAAGTGGCAGATTGTAAACGATTGTATCTTGTTGAAATAAAATCAAACCCATTCATAAAAAAAAAACATAAACTGCCACTTAAAATGAGCGATAAGTTTATCGTAAATTTTTCGCTGAGATATTGTTGAGATGGAAGAGATGAGCTTGTTTTACCTAATCTTTTAGCTGATACGACATACACAATTACACACACTAATGGTTGTATTTTACAATGCATCAAATTCATCAGTTAACGAATTCACAACAATACATCTAATATTTAACAATGACAGCTTCCAAACCACCTCTGATTTCTTATTTGAACTATATCTTCCCTCCGATGCTCGCCTATGAATTCATCAAATAAGTAAGCAGATGTCTACATAGTTTATGTAAAGTATAATGAAAGCATCCAATATGATCTACGATCTTTCTCGTGATTCAGAACTCATTAACTAATAATTTATGCTCGCTCGATGCTGAGAAGGTTTATAGGTCCAATTTTGTGTTATTAATATGACAACTCAATCGTGCTCAATGAAATTATCATACTTCGTGTCTTGCTGATCCAAAAGAAATGGGAATATGTTTGATCTAGTCTGCCCAAATATATACTAGCTTATAACCCGGCCCTTTGGCCGGAATGCTCATATTTGATTATTTGTATTTTTATGTTACTTTTAAGTCTATTAACCCGTTTAATCTTACTGATAATCATTCGATCGAAGATGATACATAAAGAAATAATATATAGGTCGAACATTCGGAGAAATATCATAATCATTTAAGAATATAAAATATAAAAATGTATCATTGACCCCATTTTTATAATGCTAATTAAGTCCCTATTAAAATGCTATTGGTTAGTTTTCTTTGACAGTCAAGAAATATAGAGTATAAAAGCTCACTGAAATTCTCACACAACCCATAGATAGTTTGAAACTAAATCTTAAACCTCACAATCCTATATAAAGGGTTCAATGCTCTCCTTTTAAAAACAATATGTCACTAATCAAAAAGAAATGAAGAGTTGCTGATTCAAGTCATCTATATACTAAAAACTCAGCTAAGAGGGGACCATCACAACTTGAGAGCAAACAAAAAAATCAGGGTTATCTCCAATATACGAATAGACTCGATCAAAGTAATAAGGCGCAAAATTAGACACTCCTTATCTATTAGTTCCAGTAGGTTGAATAAAGAAGCGACCTATTTCAAACAATCAATCAATGATTCCTCGTTTTAAGATAGAAATAAGTTATGACAGTTGCAAAAACCATAAACCTAAAGATCCAATAGCCACCACTCTCCGTTGTACAACCAAATTTCTATCTCAAGAGGCATATATTCAACCAAAAATTCAATTTCTAATCTTCCTTCTACAACTTCAGTTATTGATGAACTCCATTCTATTCGCCATGAATTGATATCGGAGTTGAAATCTTCTACTCGCCCAGCTTAAAATCCCCAACAATAAAACCGTAGTGCCAAGAGATACCTGAAGATTGATTTTCAATGACAGTCCTGTACTGGGAAGTGAAAGGCGCAAACTATTGCACGATGGATGAAATTTCGGAGGAAGTTAGAAAGAGAAAAGAACAAAGATAAAAAAACACAAAATTTAAATTGAAAAATGCAAGGATACAACAGTAGTTACATAATTAGTTTCTTCCATGTTGGCCAATTACCCATTTACCTTTAGCAAAAATTAAGGAGAGAGCGAGAATTTAAAATTGAGAAAATTACATGAAACTCTACTATGAAAATAGAAGTATCAAGCTCGATAAAAATACATACGATAGACTTACTGAGCTTGCTAATTATGATGAAAAAGTCCTCTAATTTTCAGAGATTAACTTTGTCTATTTTTTGTATAAAAATGGATGCATTAAATTTGTTTAGTGTAACTGGTTGTGATTGTTATCTTTGTTTGAAGAAACCCGGGTTCAAATCTTGATATTGCTATTTTTATATGAAATAAAATAATAAATGTGTAAAGACAAAAATGACCTTCCTACTTTCACTCTCGTTGCAAAAAATTTGAAATGGAGAAAAATACACAAAATTCTATCATATATTAATGGAGGATGTGGGGCACATGACATTTATGAAGGGAGGAAAGGAAGAGAAAGATCTTGGAATGGGAAGGAAAACACCACACGTGCGGTGGCACGCGTAGACAATTATTTGAGGGGGGTTACTGTTCCCACACAGACTAGTCCAACCTCCTCCATATCTTTTGGGAAGGTTCTTTGTAAAGAGATTAGCCAGCCCTCTTAAACCTCTCTCGCGTTGGCGTACGTATTTGTGTAAATCTTGTACTAAGAGGAAATGTTAACTATTGTAGCGATCACAAAATCACGTGCATTATATGACGATGATCATAAAAGCTACAACATGGCCAAACTAAATTTTTATGTTATACAAAAACGCTTTTCGTCTTTTTAAAAGTCGAGCTTTTACAGTTGTTGGTCGTGCTTTAGCTTTTGAAGCCGAAAAGCACTTTTAAAAGCCGGGCCAAATATAGGGAATATAATTATATACTTTAATGAATCTATAACTAGTAATTTTAAGGCAATTGAGTAAAGGGTTCCCCTCACTCTATTTTTTTAGTTGTTCTTTTTTGGTAGGGGTTCATATGACACTACCTTTTTGTTTGGTTTGTTTGGTCTTCATTTCCAGAAAATGGAAAGAAAGAGATATTTTTCATTGGCTAAATTACACGTTTGGTCACTCAAATTATATAAATCTTTCACGTTTGCCACTCACCACTCAAATGACTTTTCTTTCTAATCCGCCACTAACTTTACGAATTGTTTCACCGTTAGTCACCGGCCGTTACACTCTGTTAAATTTGTCCTACGTGGCAGTTAACTATAAATTTTGACCGTTAACTAGTGACGTGTAAATTAAAAAAAAAATTTAATGAAGAATAGCATCATTAGGTGCTGCATCTCGTCTCGTGCATCCTGTTGGATCGTCCACACCAACGGCAGCGTCGAAGAGATCAGCGGCTCCATCCGCACCGCTGAGGTGATGAAGCTCCACCCCAAGCACGTCCTCAAGAAACCTTACTCCTGCTCCGCCATCGCCGCCGGGCATCGGCATCATTGTCCCCAAGATCGTCATAGTGCCCCCCGACGCCGAGCTCCAGCGCAGCAAGATTTACTTTCTCATGCTTCTCCAGCTCCACAGCCGCTCCAAGAAATAGAACGACCACCGCGCCCACCACGACAGCAAGACCGATAAATCGACATCTTTGCCGCACCGGCACTTGTTGTGGTGTCATCGGATCCGTATCCGAGTGAGATTATGTCGAAGTGGGTTCGAGAAGCCCAACATCTGGGCATTAAGGAGATGAAGCACCAGAAAAAGAAGACCATGGTAGAAAATAGGGGAGCAAAGCCTGACAGAGAAACTAGAACTTTCTGTGCTGCTATCATTTTTAGTTTACTGCTATATCATTTTTGAGAGCTCTATTCATAGGTAGAGCACGAAATGCAAAAGTTTAACCCATTATCTACTGCCTTTTTTTTTTCCTTGTTACCAGAGATCAACATTCAGTTCGTATGCTAAGTTTGTCCATCTCTTTTCTGATTCGATGTTTGCGATTGTACTTGTTTAATTGCAGAGTTATCTTACAAACCCTTGTCATAATGGGATGGAAGAACAGGCTGAGATCACATCTGGAACGAATATATTTGAGATTGAAATTGACATTAAAAGCATATTTTTAGACAAATTTGCATACTTCACCTAAAGAGGATACATACACATACGTAGATAGATAAAATGAAGTTTTATTAAATAATTAATTTTTATTTAATCTTAAATCATATAGATAAAGTAAGTGGAATGCTGAGTTGGAAAAATAAATTAATTTTTTTAATTTTAACGTCATCTAGTTGACGGTCAAAGTTTATAGTTGACTGCCACATAGGACAAATTTAACAGAGTGTAACGGCCGGTGACTAACGGTGAAACGATTCGTAAAGCTAGTGGTTGATAAGAAAGAAAAATAATTCGGGTGGCAAACGTGAAAGATTTGTATAATTTGAGTGACCAAAAGTGTAATTTAGCCATTTTTCATTGGAGAATGAGTGAGTGTTAATGTCGCACGGGAGAGGAAAGTTAGAAGCCATGATGAATTGATGAAATCCATTGAGTGGGGGCAGGAGGAAAACTCATAAAGAGAAGAAAAAAAAAACCCCACCACAAGAGAGAATCCAAACAACAAAAATTCCAATGATTGAAATACCGCATTGGAGGTTATACTGGAAAAGTATGTAGTAGGATATTTTATGTTAAAATCGTGTTTTAACTGCTTAATATCGCTAAATACCATCAGTATGGTACGGTATTTTCTGGTCGAACCGCCAGTACTGTACGGTATTTCAATCCTTGAAAAATTCCAATTAACTTTCAACTATTCATTGTTCACAAGGTTGTCAACCCACGGGTTGACCCGGACCCGGACTCCGTTGAGCTAGTGGGTCAAGAGTTAACGGGTCACCCGTTTTAGTCCGGAAATATGGAAAGAGACATTATATTGTACTTATCTTGACAAATTATATAAAATCTCATCTAACATATGAGTAAATAACATATAACATTACACCAAAGTAACATGTCGTACTTAGATCCAACATATGTGAAAATTCACACACACACACACACACTTATATAACATCAATATTCAAATGTTCAACTAAGGATTCCAAAGATAGAGTTAGACGAAAAGAAAAATCGATAAATAGGCGCATTTCGCAAACAAACAAAAATTACACAATTTGACCTCCAACCCGGCACCTTGTAGCGGTTGACTCGACGGGTGCTTGCGACCCATTTTTCTCACTGGTTCAGGATCAAATTGGATTGACCCGTGGGTTGACAACCTTGATTGTTCATGTTGCTTTTAACTACTAGGGCATGATTTCTTGATGTCAAGCCAGAAACTAATTATGGTACAATCTTTGCAAATTCACTAGCTTTTCCATGTGATCAAAGTGTACCATAATTAACCAAGTTTTTAATTTTAATAATTCATCATCTCAAATATTACAATTTCAATTGGGAACCACTATAAGACTATAAAAACTAAAAACTAAAAACTAAAAAAATATACAATTATCCTGTCAAAGGAGTCTTCTACGAAGAAACTTGTGTATAAATAATGAAATAAAGAAAATTATGGCAAAACATGACAAAGCGAAAAAAAAAAAAAACTTTATACGTTGTCAGCCAAATCATCGAAGGTGAAGAAAAGATTTAGAAGCAACATAACGTGAAAAACATGAATAAGGAAAAACGATGAAATGAAAAAAAAAAAAAAAAATGGTGCACTCTACCGCATCCCACCATGTTTTTGCCCCTTACAGTAACACAATTTAAGTCTCCCTTCCCCTTCAAAAACTACGAAGCAGAGCTTTCAACCAAAGGAAGTAGAAAGTCAAAACAGAAACACATAACACCAAACTGTTTTTTGTGATTTGAAGAACAGTGTGTAGGCCAGAATTTGCATTGACAATAAAAGGCAGAATTCGTGAACAGATTCATCCCCCCGCACACCCAAAAAATGAAGTGAAAGAAAATTACTGTTCCCAACCAACGCCGAAATAAAAACCCCTGTCAGGCGCTGTTTGCTGTTAGGTGTTCACTGTGTTCCAAATCCAAATCCAAACACAAACACAGTACTCAGTCTAATTTTCACCAGTGGTCTTTGAGATGCCCACTTTCCCCAATTCTCCAAACGGAAGTTGGTATTTGGATAAGTAAACCTTTCATACCTAACCACAAGTCCACATCCATCTGATTTACTTATCCAGCACAAAGCATTCAATGGGCAACCATAATCCGCCCAGCGACTTGGTCGAGATCCCTCTTGCCATTCGAAGTGATCTTCCTCCCACTAGAATGCCAATAAAACAGGGGGGGAAAGAACCATTTCATCATGTTAATCATGCTATCTGATGAATTTGAGTGAAAATGTGAAAGCTATAAAGGCAGTAATAACATGAGCGAACTATTGACTCACCCTGATGGTTCGAGTTAAACAATGTTATTCAGCTGCAGCTGGTGAAGAATGTGGCGCGAGCAATAGCACCGCTGCTCTTGCAGAAATGGGCTTCCATTCCTCTTGCTTCCTCCGTTGATCCTACGAAAAGCACCCACACCAAGGCCTCCCCCTCAGCTAGACCTTCCTTGCCATTGAGGCTGCAATCACAGCTCATAAATTCGACGAAGCTTTAGAAATCCCCAGTAACAATCCTACGAAATTATATGTTTTGAGCTGTAAGAGTTGGGTAGTAGGCCCGCGTGTAGAACATATGAGATACTCACCAGCTCTAATGTAGTACCAGTCATGATCATAAGGGGCAAGCTCCTTCAGTTTACCAGTCTTCACAATATCGATCCATGGGTGCAGCTCAATCTAATTTGCAAAAAATAAAAGCATACAAAACAGCAAAGAGCACACCTGTTAGCCAAACACACACAAAGCTAGGCAGCAATGCAAAGGCAAAACATTTGAATTTTGAACTCAAACTTCTCTGTGGCAACAGAACAGCTTATATTGAATCAGTCTGCTACTTAACAATTCAGCATAAGATATACAAATTCAACAACATAAAACTAGTTCATTACAAACATACCGAAAAACTGGACTAATGGACAGACTAAGACCAGCCCACTAACCAACATTCTCAATCTGCTCCCCGCCAATGAAACTACGCAAGCAACCAGCAGATTGAGCTAAGGTAACTATTCACCAAACTGCTCCTTCAACGGCAACTAAGGCACCTGAGGCTCAAAATTTGAAGCCTCTGAAGTAGCAGATTCAACTAGAATCTAAGCAGCCAGAGTCGACTAAAAAAGAAGGGGGAAAAAAAACGAACTTTATAGGATCCCAATCACTTCTCTTCTCAACAACTAGTTTAAAAGTGTCCTATTGTCAGCCATAAGTAACTCCAGCTGCAAACAAAGCAGCGAAATAGCTTCTGATTACAGAGAATGCCTAACTGTGAATCTTACCAGCAAGCAACCAATCGTCAAACTAGTCAATCGGAAGATAATTCCCACGACCGTATGTCCACCATCAAACTAATCAACTAACCCAGAATCGAAAATTACATTCCCAGTTTTGCAATTCAGTGAGGAGATGGGACATTGAAATTACCTCGCCAGATCGCTTTAGGTGGGCGGCGTAAGCCTTCACGAACTCGTGAGGAGAGACATCCTTGACGGTCCCAGATTTGACGTCACCAACAGCAGGGGCAGCCATGTTTTTTATTCTGTTCTTCTCCGAGGGCTCCGAGCGACGAAAGCCTCGCGATTTGCAGGAAGAAGAAGGAAAAGAAGGAGAGAGAAAGAGCTGTAAGGGATGCGGAGGAAGCCCAATTTCTCATTCCCTGCAAGCCCACGGGCTATTGTGTAATATTCATCGGCCCATGACTTGCCAAATGAACCCAGGTATTTGGCTTTCTTGTGGATAAAAAATGCAAAAGAATTAAAGAACCCAAGTTAAACCTTTTTTTTTAATCATTTCATACTATCGTCAGCAAGGTGAGTTTAGTAATGAATTTTTTGCATTGTTTAAGAAACTCTATCGTATTGGTCAGTCAAACTGAAAATATCGAATGTCGGCCAATATTGATAGACATTTATAGTGGTAGAAAACAGTTGAAATATGATTAAATCACGATTTTAGTTTAAAATATCACATTACTGACTTTTTTAGTATAACGTCTCGAATTCGCAATCCTTAATGAAAACTTCTACTATTCTTTAAAGTATAGGTGTTTTAAAGTACAACTTAAAATAGTACCATAATCTTAAAAATATAAATTAAAGTTGTATCATAACAGAATTTGACATTTATGTAATGGTACAACTTGAAGTTGTAACATAACATAAATGTACAATTTTAGTTTGTACCATAAGAAAATTTCCAAAAGAGTTAGGTACAACCCGAAATTGTACCATAACGTTAACGGTACAACTTCAAGTTGTATCATAAATACAAAAACTAAAGCACTAATTTTTTTTTTTTATAATGGTGAGAGGATCAATTAAACGAAACCAAAACGTGCGGGTACAAAAACTCACAGCACAAGGTGTGTTGGTCAAGAACAATAAAAAACAACAAATTACAATAAAAAGTTACAAAAAATTACAATAAAAACGAGAGTTAAGCCGACCAAGAGGCCCCTACTCCCAAACACGGCCGCAGCGGCCCCGAAGAAGAATCAGGAACCAGGACAAGAAGAAAGAAAAGTAGACAAACAAATGAACAACAAAGAACAGAAAAGAGCAGAAAGCAGTAGCACAAACAAGGCCGAGCAGGTCAGCCAAGGAATGAGCATCCACCACGGACTGACAACACCTCATCGAAGAGACACGCGACCAGCATCGAGCGAAAGGAGAGCCTGGAAAAAGGACCACCAGGCCTAGCTCTGCCCAACACTCAGCCAATTGCATCCCTGCTGATTTTTCCATGCACAACAAGCCACTCGACCGTTGTTTTAATCGCCTTCCGAAAGACAACCTTAGCCTCATCAAAAGTGTCTTGGAACGTACGCTTGTTTCTTTCGAGCCAAACTTGCCAACAAACAACGTGAAAGATGCAGTAGACCATCCAATCACTAAAACTGTCAGGGGTTTCAGATTTCCAGCCTCGAATAATGCATATGATGTTGTTAATCCCGACGGGAACACCAAATTGTCGCAGACTCTCCTCACCTCGTGCCACACTTCTTTCCCGAACTTGCAATTGATGAAGAGGTGGTCGACGGTCTCTTCCTCACGACATCAAAGAATGCAACGGTTCACGATTTGCCCACCCCTTTTCTGGATAATATCTTGCATCATGATCCGCTTGTGAGCCACTGTCCACATAAAGGCATTGATCTTCGATGGTATGCACCTCCTCCAAACAGAGTCGCCTGGGAAGTTATTCACCCAGGAAATCGTCCTGCAACCAAAAACGAGTACATGGCACGAACAAAAAAAGACGAGCCGGGGTACGGGGACCAAACCAATTTGCTCGGTCCACACACCACCCGAAGAATGTCAATAGAATTCAACAACTCTAATAAACTCACTCTCTCCCTATCAGCCCCACCCCTTAGGTTGTGAGTCAAAACGATTTTCCACTCAAAACTCTCACCTAGGGCTGTCGGTTCGGTTCGGTTCGGGTAACCGAACCCGAAAACCGCAAAAAAACGAGAAACCGAAACCGAAACCCGCCAACCCGAAACCGACCATATGCTTTGCGGGTTTCGGGTACAGGAACCCGAAAAATAACTGCGGTTTTGGCTCGGTTCGGGTGAACCCGAAACCGAACCGGATTGAAGTTTTTTTTTTTTTAACTGAAGCAGTAACAACACGAGGATTGGGGGCAGGTGATTCTCAGTTACAATGACATAGAATATGGCTGCTGAAAAATGACTCAAAGTCCTGCAAACATTGCAATCTCTCTTTTGATACCACAAAGTAAATGCAGTTACAATTCAAGGTGCAACTCTTTACACTTAACTAAATCCACTCATTCAAAGATTCAGTTCTTGACTAAGATGCTGGTTACTTCAGGAATGAAGGACACCTCACCTGGCAATAACCAACATCTGAATCCCGGAAGGAGTATCCAACGAGAACACGACGAAGAGCAGCATGGCCTTCCGGAGTGTCCAGCCATGGGTGGCCAGGAAAAGTGCGCGGCAGCCGGCAGGTCCTGTCAACCAACAATAAACATATCACAAACACCCCAAAATGCATGAGAATTCAGGCCGTATCACTCTATTGCAAGTTCCAATCGTCAAAGTCTTGGATGGAGTCAATTAACTCCAAAAAGCTGATTAATTCAAACGGTAAGTGAACTGTGCAAGCAGCCTAATTGATGAGCTAAAGAGAGTTTTACTTTCCTAACTACACATTGATCTCAACGTCAAGATGAAGACAATAGGCTTGAGCCACATTAACTAATCATAGCATATAGATAATTCCAAAGCTTGACCAAATGCCAGTAGTCCAAACCCAGACATAGGAGAAGATAAACCAGCAACGACAAAATCCGTCCCCGGTAGCTCTCTCTTCTGATCTCTAGCATCACATCCACCATTAACACCCACACAAAACAAAAACTAATCCACCATAATACCATATTGATCATGTCTTAAACGGATCATCTTACAAGAAGAAGCATAGGATCATATGAGATACCGATAAAAGAAATTCACCCCAAACGGCCATCCACTGAGCACAATAAAACCCAAATCCACTACTTGCCAGAAGAAGCAGAAGGATGTAAAGAGCACCAGCAAGCGAAGAAAGCAAATAAGTGGTGAAGAAGAAGAGCAACAGATAGTAAGATAGAGGAGCTTACTGGGATGCCATAGCTGATCTCAAATCGATGAAGCCAGGAGAGAAATCAACGAGACCAGGGGAACCCTAACACTAGATCGAAGAAGGACGTCCGGCGAAGTGCGAAGTGCGAACTGCGAAGGGCTTGGTACCTGCAAAAATCAAAACCCAATACGATGAAGCCAGGGGAGGAATCGACGAACCCAGGGAAACTCTAAAACCATATCGGAGACGGGTTGCATTACCCAGATGCGTGAGCGTCGACGCCCGACGAGGAAAGCTTCGATCTTGAACGAACGGATGAGTTGCCGACGAAGGGATGGCGAAGAGTTGCAGGGTGAGATTTGGCGAAGCTCTGACTGCGCAGAATCGCCTGTAGCCGACTTCTGCATTCGATTGAAAGAGAATCGCCGGTAGCCGACGCCGCGAAGGAGAATCGCCTGCGCAGAATCGCCTTGTAGCGTGTAGGGTTTTCGAAGACAATGGCGAGCTTAACAGAGAGCTTAGGTTTTCGGGTTCCTTGTTGGTTTTCGGGTTTAGGTGAACCGAAACCGGATGTGCCTTTCTCGGGTTGAAACCGAAAACCCGAAACCGAAGACATCTGCTACCGGTTCGGGTTCGGGTTAAACCGAAAAACCGAAACCATTTTGACAGGCCTACTCTCACCTGAGTGGTTGAATACCTTCGAGACCCAGGCATCCGGCGAAGCAGCAGCCGCGGCGACTCTAGGGAAGGACTGCGCGAGAATCATTCCTGGAATCCAGCAGTAATTCCAAAACGACACCCCTGCTCCTCCACCCGGATCGATTGCCACTGCCTTCCAGAATTCATTATATTCTCAAGTGATGTTAGCCCACACCGATCCCCCAAATCCATTTCTACAATTCTTACTCTGCCACAACGAATTTCTTGCCGAAAATTTGATGTTGATGAGCTTTCTCCACCAGCTCTCTCTCTCCTCGGTGAATTTCCACAACCATTTTGACAGCAAAGCTTTATTGAAACAATTCATGTCCCTAATGCCCAAACCCCCTTTTTCTCTGCTCGCTTTACATATATCCCATTTGATAAGTGGGGTCTTGAGCTTATCCCCTGCGCCGCTCAAGACGCTGCTCAAACTTCCTGATAATCGGGTCCCAAGTCGAGATAGCGTTTACTTTAGCTCCGAGAGGAAAGCCCAGATACTTAGAAGGCTCACTGCTCCAGTTACAGCCGAAGATGGCTGCGAAGTATTCCGGGATTGCGACATCCCCAACGGTAATCATAACCGACTTCTCAAGATTGATTCTGAGCTCGGTAATAGCTTGAAAGGAGACCAAGTTAGAGACGATGTTCAACACTTGATCATAGGCAGCATCACAAAAAAGCAAAGTTTCATCAGCAAACAAAAGGTGAGTGACCTCACCTCTGCCATTCGTCTCATCCATACAGAACCCCGATATCCTCCCCTCTGCATGCAGTTTGTTCAACATAAAAGAAAGGAGGTCCATAATCAGAGTGAATAACCCTGGTGAAAGCGAATCCCCTTGGCGCAACCCCTTTTGAGGCTTGAAGAAGCCCTTCGATTCACCATTAATAAGTGTAGAAACGACCGGGGAGCACATCGTACCTCTGATCCATTTTTTCCAATGTTCCGGGAACCCAATGGTAGATAAAATCTTAAAAAGACAATCCCAACTCACATTGTCGAAAGCCTTCTCGATGTCTAGCTTGAACATGAGACCAGGTTTGCGGCTTTTCTTGCGACTATCTAACAATTCAAATGCAATGAGTCCCGCTTCCAAGATCTGTCTACCTTTGACGGAGGCATGCTGATTCTGCGACACCAGCTTGGGGAGAACTTTATCGAGCCGACGAGCCATCATCTTACTTATTAATTTATTCATACTGCCCATCAAGCTAATAGGGCGAAGGTCTTAAATATCCTCCACAGTGTCGCGCTTAGGAAGGAGACATAAGAAAGAATGAGTAACACAATCTGGAAGGTAGTCTGAAGAATGAAACTTGGTTAAAGCGTTGATGAGCTCCTCCCGAATAAGGACCCATCCTTTTTTGTAGAATTCCCACGTGAAATCGTCAGGTCCAGGAGCTTTACCCCCATCGCAGTCCACCAAGCTCTCCCAAATTTCCTTCTCCGAGAACGACTTAATGAGCTCAGTACCATCCTCCTCGTCCAACTGCCTAGCTGCATACCCCCTCGGGAAAGGGCGCCTTTTTATAAGGTCTTTGAATAATTGTATGTAATACTCCACAATGCCCCTGCCCAGATCATCCCTCCCCTCATGTCTAACACCGTTAATGAAAATACAGTCTATCAGGTTGAGCTTTCTTTTGTAGTTAGCAACCGTGTGAAAAAATTTGGTGTTATTGTCGCCGCCTTTGAGCCAGAGTTCTTGAGACATCTGCCTCCAATGAATTTCCTGGTAGAAAAGCAGTCTGCTTAATTCGACCTTCAGCACCTGTTTGTCCCGAATTTCTTCTTCGCTAAGGATACGAGATTCTTCAACTATATCCAACTCCTTAATCCTGCCCAAGGCTTCCTCGACCTGAACATTAATATTCCCGAACACGTCTTTGTTCCAGACTTTGATGATCTGTTTCAAATTTTGCAGCCTCTTAGCTCACAAAAAGACCTTACCCTGGCCAACCAAAGGAATCAACATCCACTCCTTAAGACCCCCAAAAAATCTTATATCCTCTACCCACATATTCTGAAACCTCTAGGGTCTCTTGACCATAATATTAGCGCCCCACATGATGAACAGTGGACAATGATCCGATTCCACCCGCTCTAGAGCAGTCAGAGTACAATCGGGAAAAAGAGCATCGAACGCAGCATTAATGAAAACCCTGTCGATCCGAGATAATAAATTAGAACCATCCCCTCTACTCCAAGTGAAGTTACATCCTCCAAGAGGGAGCTCGAGCATGGTGTTGTTGTCGATGCATTCGTTGAAACAGTCCATCAACGTCATGCTGCGCCTCCCCCCCATAATCCTCATGACACCTAACCAAGTTAAAACCCCCAGCGATGCATACGGGATTAACGGAGGTTTGGCAAAGAATGTTACGCTTATTAATAAAGTCCAGCTTGATTTCCCTTTCCTGAGGACCATAAACAACAACTAGAGACCAAACCTTAAGGGAAACCAACTCCTGGAAATCAATGACAAGGTAATACGACCCCTCCCTGCTAGTTAAGGCATTCACATAATCCTTGTCTCAGTATACAACAATGCCACCTGAGCTATTCTCCACATTTATAACTGCCCAACCGCTATCCCTGCAACCACTGATGCTAGCAATGAGATATCCAGAGCAAAACTCTCATTTAGTTTCCACGAACCCAATGATTTTCGGCTTCCTTCTACCCAAAAAGCGCTTGATCCTGGCCCTCTTAGAATAATCCCCGAGACCCCTCACATTCCACACTGTTATAGAGCACTCCATTAAATTGTAAAAGCAGTACCTTCCACCTCTCTTCTACGTCTCCTTCTGGCCACTGACACATACGATTCAATTGGGCCCAATCTGTGCTTTTCCATCTCTAGTTTAGACCTGGGCTGCGAACTTTTCTCTGGTGCATCGCTTTAGCATAGTTTTCGATCATTTCCTCCATTGACTCCTGCCCTCCGTCCAACTCAAGATTGAACAACCTGCCCAAATCGAGACTAGTTACCACAAGAGTTGAAACGTCGAAAGGGTGTTCCTCCTGGTTCCTTCCCCATTCCTGGCTATCCAGCACGCACGAAGGGGAGGGAAGAACATCCTCATCAAGAGATTGGAAACTCGATAAATTTGAGGTAGGGGTTAAAGGTGGGCTGGAAAACGGGGAATTAGGGCGGTGAGGGATAAGAGAGGGTAATGGGCTAGAAGGAGGAGAAGAAATCTGGATGGCTTCGAGGGAGGCTTGGGGCATGGAGATTGCCAATATCCGATCGGGAGGAAACTCTATTGGAGAATTAGAGGACATGGGAGAACAAGAAAGGTTGACGTGACAGAAGGATACGGTTAAAAGAGAAGATTGCCTGGTGGAAGTGGCTAAGGCAGGGGAAGCAGATGCTGTGAACAGGGAGACCAACCGCAACCAACTAAAAGGGCTCAAAGGAGGGTTGAACAAAGGTTCCGGGCTGAGACCCATTAAATTTGCGATCCACCGTAAATCACCATTTCGCCTAGCTGACAAAAGACTTGGCCCGTGTTCGCGCGAAGCCTAGCCCACCTGGATAATGTCACGAGATTGGAAGGGCACGGCGAATGGACATCTTAATGGGCCCAAAACGTAATCACGCAACGGCTGCATGGGAGCAGGGCTCGAGGTGTGACGAATCAACTCCCTGCCGGAAGAAGAGCTCGAGTCGCTGTTCCCTGGCATATTCCCCACCGTCGCCTGAAAAACATGAACCCAATACCGTTCTCCACGAAAACTGACCGGAATCAATGCCGGCGGCTCGCCTGAAGGTCACACACGAAGTCTAATACATTCAGAAGTCCAGTGATTCCAGTCCACCTCCACCAACGAACCACAAAAATTCCCAAAGCTTTTGATAAGCTCAACACTTTTTAGATGCAGAGGGATTCCCAACACCAACACCCACTGAGTATCATCCTTCATATCCTCGTTCACCTCTTCTTGCCAAAAACGAATATCCATGAGGAAGCTCTTATAGATGCATTGATCGAATCTCTTAATGCGCAAGAATTGATGGACACTAGGACACACGAGCAGCCACTTGCCGTTATCGATTCGATGAAACTCGAAGTTATCATCAATGGCCCATCTCATGGCCGCCCATCTCCTGAACTCCTGAACATCGCTGCAAACGAAGAGATCCTCGTCTAGAGATTTGAAAAACACCACCAAGCTTCTTCCCAAAACCTCCCGCCTTTCATGTACTCCTTCCCCCTCGACTTCTATGTGGCGCTCGGCCCCATAACCTTTGATTCTGCACTTCCCGACGCCATAGAAACCTCCGATCTTGACAACTTCTGCATACGTTCTTCTCGGTGAGGTCGGGAGGTTAGAAGGAGGATGGGGGTTCATGGCGCAAGTCGTTGACGGAAGATAGCACCTGCGCTCGAAATGGTGAAAATCCTGCAGTAAGGAGGTGAGCTGAGCCCAACCACTTCCATTCTCAGTTTGCGGGATCATAATCTTGTAAACACGACCGCTTGTCACGACCATAAAGTTAAAGCACCAATTCTTTAAAGCATTATTAAATTCCTCCTAAAATTAATGATTTTTGAGAATTATGAAAAGTGTGTCAATCGAAGTTTAGTAAAGAAATCGGGTGGCTCATGAGGTGGCCAGGAAGACCCTTTCTTTGTTGTCTGTGGATGTAGAGAATTTTGATTTTGAGGGTTGGTTTTGCTATTTTTGTGTGTAAACAGTGCTATCTTTTGGTGATTGATAATATAATCTGTCTATTGATAAAAAAAAAAAAGTTTAGTAAAGAAATCCAACCAGTGAAATTAATAATTCAAGATTTAAGTCATGCTAGATTAAGGTAAAAAAATTCAGAAATTCGATATTTTTGACGGGAATTTTTTTTTGGACAGGAATGAAATTCGATATTGAAACCAATAATTAATTTCTTGAGAGAGCATCATGGTCACAAATAACTCTTTTCTTTGCTCTTGTATTTCACCTCCTTTGGAAATTGGAACCATACTTTATCATATATATGATCCAAATACATATATAACAAAAAAAAAAAAAAGCTATATGATCAAACATCCAATACTTAAAACTAAAATTCCTCTAAAATGACAAGTCTAAAATCTTTCATTTCCTCTTCCTTTTGCTACCGCGTTCCTCTTCTGCTCTAAATTTATCTAGTGGAGTCTAAACCTTCTCATCAGCATCAGCAGTTTCCAGTTTCTGGAACTTGGTGCTGCTGTTAGCTGGGGAACTCCGACGCTCTTTGCCCCCAGGCTTCGATGAGGCATTGCCATACCATATCATCCCGGCCACAGCAATGACCATGCCCACAATCACATGGAAATTGAGGTCGTCTTTCCCGAAGAAGACAAAGCCCAAGATCAGCACGAGAATTGTCTTCATATGACCGAGGACCTGGAAGGAAACCGCAGTGAACCTGCCTATGCAGATGAACTGGCTGAGGTTTGTTCCAATGGCGATGGTGCAGGATAGCACTATGAACAGCTGCAACCAAACAAAAGTACCAGTTTTTCAGATCAGGCTGAGGGACCACAATGAACGAGCTTGATACCAAGAGGTTTTCTAAGACATATTAAGAAAAAGTAATTTGCTTGATAAGCACCGGTGAACTGCTTGTCCCTTACTAAAGTAAAAGGGTTATGGATTTTACTGCCTTCAAATGCTTCTGACAACCAGATTTCTCACAGGGGAAGAATGCTTCTGTCACTAAATTGATTACATGCTTCCTACTGACTAGCTTTTCTGGAGCCATAATTTGATTGATACTACAAAGTGATTGAGGCGAATGTTGTATCAAATGAACATAATGAATCTAAACTCAGAGTCCAACAAACAAACTTACCACAGACGTCAAGGAATAAGGATAAGCATCGACTCTTTTCGTAGTCAACCAGTAGTCAAGAAAGGGCCCCACTAAAAGTAGAGAACCAGCTTGAGCTGGAGCAGTGTGACCCAACAAGTTGAAGGAATTCAGAGAATACCTTCGCTGAAGATAATGTACATACTGCAAAAGTTCCATAGAATACATTGATTAATCAAAGAACAGAAGAAAAGTGTAATTCCAGCCTACAACCAGCTGATAATGTCATAATAAGTTTCTCCAGACATCTTCAATCTTAACATAACAGCTAGGATTTGGCCAACCAAACCTCATAGATATCCTCAGTCAACATCAAAAGTAAACAAATTCATAAAACACATGAGCATAAGGAAGGAGATACAGTAACCAAATCCATAAACATGGCATTTCTGCGTAAGAAACTACACAGAGAGTGTTTTACTCACATATTGCTGCAGGGCAGTGCTCCAAACAGCGACAACTGCAGCTAAAAACCCCTTGGTGTTGACACTGACATCCGTGACAGTACACACCCCTACACCGAGCAGAACTACTCCTATACTAAGCTTTGTGTCTCTTGAATATCGCATGTTGTCTAAGACAACTTCCAGAAAGCAAGAAACTGGTATCATTGTCAACTTTGCAATCTGAAAAGTTGCGGAGGGAAAATATTGTAAGTCCCATGTTAACAATGTAATGAGATTACAAACATTGCATATTTTGCTAAACCTCACCTGATAAAATCCAACCGAGTTCCACATCAAACTCACGTTCATCCCAACGATGGAGAAGTTTGCAAACAGAACAAACTTAAGAAGCTCTGATACTGGTAGGTGAGATGGCTGAATATACTTCATCCACCTAAGTGTAAGTGTTAACAAGGTCGTTGTTGCAAAATGCATACCGGTTAAGGTGGTAGCTGCAGGAAACACATTGAACCCCAAAATCAGAGTCCAAACAATAATAAAAGCCGTCTAAACAATGGCAATGCTCAGTGTAAGGAAGCCCGATCTTTTGTTTTTGAATGAACAGAATCACTTTCATTAGCAAGAAAGTGATGCTCGACAAGCATGATACTAGTAAGCAGATCATAAGAGAACAGAGATCAAATCAAGAATTTTGATCCAGAGCTACCCTTACCTACCTCATCTGCTCTAACATTGACGCACCTCGGTATAAACTTTACTTTACAAGAGTAGACGAGCTACGGAGCTCATATCGAGCAACTCTAAAGCATGGTTGCTAATCACATTGACAGCATGAATACATACAGACCACACTGACAGATAATCAATTGCCTTATGTTGAATCAATCTACTAAGAGGACTCCAAACAATTATTCACTATCCTGTTTTCATTTCTTTGACAAACCCACAAACAGTAGCTTCCTAAAAGGGTCAAGTGACGGAATTTTGGGGCGAGAAGCCATGATAAGTATAAAAACGTACCAAAACTGAAGCCATAGGTAGCCATTAATGCCTTGTTCACAAGGATGATTACAACCGATGTGACCACATTGAACATCCACGCGGCAGCGTCCACAGCCGCCTTCTTATCAGTCTTACTCGAAGACGACATACTTTTTCTCCACCCCACTTCCCTCGGTAGCTCAATTAAACGCCATTGCTTCCATTTTTCATCAGCCTAACTTGGATACATTTATACCTGCAGCAAAATACCAGGTTAATCAAAGAAAGTATATAAGATCAATAGTCTCAAATGGGCTCCAAATTCCACGGAGGCTGGATTTAAAGAGTCGGAATTCACGCTCTGGATCTGTGTAGCGACTGCTCGTAATTCAGACCACATTAGGCTAATTTTTCCCTAATTGCGGATCCGCAGAGAGCAAATTAAGCAACTAAGAGAAATTGAGAGAGTGGGAGATAATGATGCGAGAGGGTACCTCAACGGCCAAAGACGGGCTCTGGGTTTTGATGGGTTCGTCGTTGTTTGGCCGGAGAAGCAAAAAAAAAAAGTTTCCTTTTCCCCTTCCTGGGAAACAAACGGAAAATGGAGGAGGAAACGCAAATGCAGGTGAGGAGTGAGGAAAGAATGAAATGGGCAGAAGGGGAAAGAGAAGTGGAGAAAGTAACGAGCGCAGCTGCGCCTGCGCAGGCCAAGTGAGTAAGTGAATAAGAGTATTAATGTGATCGAATGCTAAAGTCAGCTGTTTTTTAGCTTATGAAAGTAACATAATCGTACGAAAGACTGAATCATGATCGTCATAAAAATATATCAAAATTTGATTAGCTATATAGCTTAAGTCGAGGTTTAATCGTTGTTTAATCGTGATATAAAAATAAGTTGTGATAAGTTTTAAGCTCAATAATATTACACACTATTATGAAGAAATTTGCAATAATATAGTAACTAGAAACTGATGCCGAGCTTCGCAGCGGCCAGTTACCTATAAACGCATGAAGTGTAAAGAAATTAAAAGATAATTCTGCTCATTTGTTGAGAGCATTGGCCTCGGATTTTTCTGCCCACGAGTGGTTCTGGGATCTAAACTAAAAGGGAATCAAATAAGGCATGCTGTTGGTTCGATCGTTGGGGTATCCAGAGAACCGAATAAATTAAAAGGTTTTCCCTATGGTCAAATACATAATCTCACCTTTTTGAATCCTAACCACCAACGACGAACTCAAGAAATAGTGATAAGTTTTATTTTTCTCTCAAAATCAAATACTTTTCCTTTCCGCATTAAATTCTTCTTCTGTGTTTTTCTTTTGCATTCCTCTTAAAATCAATGACCATGGCCGATCGACTCACCATTAGTTTTCCTTTTGCTTTATCTTAATTCATCTTTTTGTTCCATCCATTTACGAAATTCAATAGCAGCTTTGCTGGACTTCACTTTTTTTTTTTGTCTCCCGAGCAAGGTTGTCAACCCAGTTTAACCCGTTGGCCCGGTTGAGTAAGTAGATTGAGGGGTTATTAGTCTGACCGCTTTAGTTCATTTTAATCTGGATATATGAAAAAATTCATTATAATGTTCATACATTTATAAATTGGGTTAATTGCATGGTTGGTCATTGAGATTACAAAAAACATTCATGTTTGGTCACTGAAAATATTTAAATTCAATTTTGGTCACTCAAATTAGTTAAATAGTTCAAGTTTGGTCACTCTCCGTCCAACTCCGTTAAATTTGTCTGATGTGACAGTCAACCCTCAAAGTTGACTGTTAACTGAGTGACGTGGCATTTAAAAAAATAATAAATAAAATAAATTTTAATTTTCTACCATTTTCAACTTATTTTCACAATAAATAAAACAAAAAATATTATAATTACAAAATGAAAAGGGGCACTTCCTCAAAAATATTAATTGCTCCCGGCAGAGTGCAAGCAGTAACAACATTGCTTTGCGAGTCCATCCTGCGTGCCTTCATCAAGATAAGCACAGTGCCGCCGCCAGCAGCGGCGTCGGTTGTCGTCACCCAAGCTGTAAACCTGCGGCGGAGGATGAATCCCCCTTTCCCATCCAACTCAATGGGCAACTACGTAATCAACGCAGTAGCTACTGAGGCGATCGCGACCGCCATCGACGACACGGCGGCGATGATGAAGCTACTGAGGGATTCAGTGTCGAAGATCGACGGCGAGTTCAAAGAAGAGGACGAAGCTGTGGTCAGGGCGTGGCGTCGGATTTCTTTCACGAGTTTGGTTGACTTTCTAACATGAGTTTTATTATATATTATTAGAATTATTAAGGCACAAGATTTTTGACGGTTGCTTACTGTAAAATATGTAAAATATGTAGAAGAATCACACAATACGCAGCGATTTACGTGGTATCCTTGCTCGTTGTGAGCAAGACTAATCCACGGAAGACCTGCACAAGGGGTCTTCAGCTTAGGTTTTATTATTAGGGTTTTGAAACTCCCATCATGCCTTTGCCCATGCATGCGACAGTCAATATATAGGGAAATCACAATATCCCTTTACATCATTCAACTAGGGATAAGTGCAAAACAGTCCCTCACAAACTAAACGATGGGCTACGTATAAATCTCAACACATAAGTAGTCCGTAACACGCCCCCTCAAGCGGAGGCATGAATATCATGAAGGCCAAGCTTGGAAGTCAGAAAGGAAAACTGGTCCGCACCAAGTCCCTTGGTAAACATATCAGCCACTTGATCGTGCGACGAAATCTTCTGCGGGGCTATCTCACCAGAAGTCACGCGCTCACGAACGAAGTGACAATCCATCTCAACGTGATTTGTGCGCTCATGAAAAATAGGGTTAGCTGCGATATGCAAAGCTTCCTGGTTGTCACAATGCAACGGTGTAGCTGCCTTGATGGTGACTCCCAAGTCAGTAAGCAACCAACGAAGCCAAACAAGCTCGCTGACAGTACTGGCCATGGCCCGATATTCTGCTTCAGCTGACGAACGAGCTACAACTGACTGCTTCTTGGTACGCCACAATATCGAACAGTCCCCCAGTCGTATAAAATACCCAGTGGTGGAGCGACGCGTACTTTGACAGCCGCCCCAATCAGCATCACAATAGGCAGTCAAACTAAGCTTGCCCGTCGTGGGAAAGCGAAGACCGCGCCCAGGCGCCCCCTTAAGGTAACGCAACACTCTATGAGGTGCATCCTCATGCTCCTATCGCGGGGAATGCACAGCCTGACTGAGGATGTTAACTGCATAGACTATATCAGGTCGGGTAACAGTCAAGTACTGTAACCGTCCAACGAGACGGCGAAAACCCGATGGATCTTTCGCAGCAGGGCCCTCAATTCTGGTGAGATGATGATTTTGTTCAATTGGAAAAGCACACGGTTTGACAGCTAATGCGCCAGCATCCTTCAGGATGTCAATGGCGTACTTCCTCTGAGACAACACCAGTCCAGTGCGAGAACGAGCAACTTCGATGCCCAAGAAATATTTGAGCACTCCCAGATCCTTGATGCTGAACTATTCATGCAGAAAGTCCTTGACATGCTGAATAGTACCCAAGTCATCGCCGCCAAGGATGATATCATCCACATAGATAAGAGCAAAAACATAAGCTCCATTCTGTCGATAGGTGAAAAAAGAGTGATCAGCCTTCGACTGTTGAAATCCAAACTGATGGAGCGAATGAGTAAACTTCATATACCAGTTGCGTGACGCCTGTTTCAATCCCTAGAGGGATTTGTGAAGACGACACACCCTGTTGTCCCCCGGTCGAGCAAACCCAGGAGGGAGCTTCATGTAGACCTCCTCGTCGAGGTCCCCATGGAGAAAAGCGTTATTAACGTCCAGCTGATGTAGGTGCCAACCACGGTGGGCGGCCACAGCCAGAACCGAACGAACGGTGACAAGCTTTGCAACGGGGGCAAAGGTGTCCTGATAGTCGACCCCTTCGATCTGGGTGAAACCTTTGGCCACCAAACGAGCTTTGTACCGCTCAACACTGCCATCAGGATGAAACTTGACCTTGTAGACCCATTTAGAAGAGATTGCTCGTTTGCCAGGCGGTAAATCCTGTAGTTTCTAAGTACCATTGGCTTCCAGAGCAGCAATTTCACGCTGCATGGCTTCACGCCAGCAGGCTAGTCGCACTGCATCATGGAAAAATCGCGGTTCCTCCACGACATTAACCGCTGACACAAAAACACGATGATTAGCTGACAAACGAGTAAAAGTGACATAAGCAGAAAACGGATATTTCACAGCCGCTGTATGAGAAATGGGGAAGTGAGTTTCATAACCTGTGACCCGGACAGAGGGCTGGCAAACACGGCCGCTGCGCCTGGGAAGAGGCGGTGAAGGTGCAAGAGAAGTGGGTGTCTCAACTGGGGAAGAAGGACTAGGCCCAGCCTCCTCAGGAGAAGGGCAGCTGGTCGCATCATCCGCGGGTGAAGGAGGAGGACCAGGGGAGTCCGCCGAGTCCGCAGGCGAGGTCGGTGAGCTCACGGGAGCTGGGCTAGATGGTGAAGCAACCAAATCATCATCGCTGTCCACAACCAAATCATCATCGCTGTCCACAGGGGCCGAAGTGAAAGGTGAAGAGGGCGGAACAGGCGAGATGTCACTAGCCAAGGTGTGAAAGGGGAATGTTGTTTCCTCGAAGACAACATCACGAGAAGTGAATAAGCGTTGAGATAACAGCTCAAAAACGCGGTAACCTTTCTGAGATGAGTGGTAACCAAGGAAAACACAAGGGAGGCCTCTCTCGCCAAATTTGTCTAGATGGTGACGAGTATCCTTGGAGTAGCCTAGGCAACCAAAGGCGCGTAGATGAGAGAGTAAGTGGGCGGCCGCCCAAAGAGCCGTTCATAGGGAGTTCGATTACCAAGAGAGCTATAGGGAAGGCGATTAATCAAGTAGCCAGCAGTAAGAACACACTCACCCCAGAATTTCCTTGGTAGATTGGCATGAAAACGCAAAGCGCGTGCTGTGTCCAAGATATGTCGATGTTTATGTTCGACAATCCCATTTTGCTGAGGGGTGTCAACGCATGAAGTCTGCAGATGGATACCTTCATTAAGATAGAGATCGATCAGGTCATGGGACTGGAATTCGGTCCCATTATCAGTTTGGATCACCTTGACCAAGGCATTAAACTGCCGAGATGCCTGCCGAACAAAAAGCTTCAAGTACTTGGCTGCTTCAGACTTAAATTTGAGTAAATAAATACAGACACCACGCGTGTAATCATCAACAACAGTAAGAAAGTATTGAGCTCCACTCAAGGAAGGAACCTTGTATCCTCCCCAAATATCAATGTGAACAATCTCAAATGGCCGAGTACTGCGAATCGCGCAGGAAGGAAAAGACAAACGGGATTGTTTTGCTCGCAAACAAGATGAGCAATGAGTTTTATTGTTCCTACTAGTCCCAGAAATTAAATGCAACAAATCCAGTTTTTCTGATGATGGGTGGCCCAACCGGGAATGCCATAGATCAGCTGAGCCATGGCCACGAATGGCATGAGCCATCTCTTGTCGAATCCCCTCAAATAGTCGCAAATAGTAGAGTCCATCAGTTTGGTGCCCCGTCCCAATAATCATCCTCGAGGACAAGTCCTGTATCACACAGAAGTCGCGGAGGAAGATCAAAGCCAGAGCAAAATTCCGAGTAAGCTGACTAACAGATAACAGGTTGCATTTAAATTCCGGAACTAACAGCAAACGGGGCAGCTTTAGCCCATTAGATAGCCGAACTTCACCAATACAAGTCACCGGAATACTAGAACCATCGGGAACTCGTACTTGCAAACTCGAGTCTG